GGTTTGTGGCACCGTTAAAGTCCACAATTCCTCTAAAGTCCACAACACCGCTAAAGTCCACAACAAATTTCCGCTAAAGTCCACAACGCCGCTAAAGTCCACAAACTTTCCGCTAAAGTCCACAAAATGACCTCCGCTAAAGTCCACAAGAAAACGCCGTTAAAGTCCACAATAACAAGTTCCGCTAAAGTCCATAAAAAAAACACCGGTAAATTCCACACAACTTTTTTTATTTTTAGAATATCAATTCGCTTTTTTTTTTTTATCCCGGTAGTACAATACAAAGCATGGGCTTTTGTTCTTGGTAGATATTTTTTTTATCAGTTTGATAAATGAAAAAAAGTAGAGTATCTGTAGAAGATTTTATTCCATTAATTTGATCTTTGTATTATGATGATCCGATCAATGAATCAAATAGGCCAATTTGGACATCATTTCTAAAAAGTAATCTATTCATAGTAAATTCGTTAGTTATTACATAATTACTGGAATCTTCAAGTACTTTTTTTTTTATTCTTTGTATATAATCACTTTTTTACGTCACTATAAATGTACAGAGCAAAAGTCTCGGGACATGTTATTAATAATGTGTTTTTTATGTTGATGTTTAAAAACATGAGCACCGACAAGAAATTCGACATATAATTCGATTTTGCTAGTTTTAGTTAAATTGTTACTAAACATAAGCACATGGACATGGGGTCATAATAATGTATCCTGCACTCCCCTCCAGCTATTTTTTCAACTTTTATATAGTTTGCCGATATAAAAATAGCTGGATAGTAAAACAGCACAAATAAGTAAAAATATCAGTATAGATGACCAGGAATAGATAGGTAAACGTCATTTGTATAAATAGCTCTAAATCAGAACTTTTACAAAATATTGCCTCGTAAAAAAGAGGGAGGACAGGGTATATCATCATGACCCAATGTACCTGTGTAAATAAGATTTGGTATGAGTGCCAATGAGACCACTCTCCATCTAATATTTTTGTATGATAATTGCTATCGGATTAACGTATTTAAGAACCTACATTGTATACATAATTATTATAACAAAACTGGACACACTTAAATGTCTTCCCTGTTTTAGTGTTTATAATTGAAGTTATTTGTAAGTGAACAATTTTTTTTACAACAAGCAATACATTAAATTATCAATTCAATGATCAATGAACATGATGTCAAGGTGAGATAAATCTTTTCAGACAGACATGGAGGCCGTATAAATTCATCCCATGATATACCAAATTAAGTTAGCTATCGCTTAAAATATCTCGGAAGCAAACATCATCAAGAAATAAGAACTTTGACTAATGAACCATTAAATTAGGTCAAGGAAATATGACACAGACCAGACAGACAGTCATGTACACCTTACAACCATTCAATACACAAGATGTATACATGACTTTAATATCACTTATAATATCTGAGAAACTGTCAAAACTATATATTAAGCATTTCATTTTAATTCTATCAGTCTTCTCACAAATAAACAGCTGGCTTGACGGTTTTTGTAGTAAAGTTCCTAAATTTTCTAAAAACATATCTTCCAACATTATTTGTATTTCAAATAACTTCAATTTCAGTGAGCTTTTTAACTCAATTTCATACTTAATACAGGAGATTAACTGATAAAGTTACAATGTAGCGTGACTTTTGTATTTAGTTAAAGTTTTTATTTCATTTTTTAATTCTAGATTTGACAAATTTCTTAGAATTAGACAGACGGCACGTGCGTACGGTCCGACCGTATACGTATTTTGAATAAGTTCGTCTACGGTCCAGACCATATACGCGTATGGTCTAAATGCGCATATGGTCTGGAACATCCGTACATTGGATTTGATGTGATTAAAGTGATTACAATTTGATATAATTAGCAGGTGAACTACTAAAAAAATGTTAAAAAACAATTACATTATAAATTTATGTTGATTTTTACAAAAAGAGGAAGAAGTTATATTTTCATTTATTTAATGCAGAATGCCTGTCTATCAGTTACTTGCTAGTTATTATTAAAGGCAGTGTTAGATTTTTAACATGAATGAAATAGCTAGATAAGAATTCTGAGTATTCGTACATTTAATTTAGTTTTGAATTTACCTTGTTCACCAATAACGAAGTACATGATTGTTTTACTGAGAATGTGTACGGTACAGGGTCCTAAAGATGTAAATTTCGGTATAAAATTATGAGTAAAGGGTTATATCGAAGCCATTACTGTAGGGTTGAAAGTCAAGTCAAGTACATGACCCTGTTGGTCATGTAAGCTATGTAAGATGTTAAATTTTCCTACGAAGCTTCAGAAGAATGGATGTGAAAATTTTAGTTTAAAGAAATGCATGTCCATAGGGACCGAGCACTAGAGGTCCAAAGTTTAGAATACGCTCCAATAGAAAAAGCTTAAACTATGTGTTCCTTAAAACCAACAATGATCATATTTAGGTCAAGTGAACAATACAAGCTTAAGATCACATGATACTCTAGTTTTAATAATATTTAGATATGTATATGTTGTACAGAATTTCCTGCTGTTTATTAAATTTGAATGTTCATTCTATACTTCATTATTATCAATTCTCATAAAACCAGAAAACGAAAGTAATGTTGATCGCCTTTCTTATTTTTTTTAATACCAAACAAATCAAGGGAACGAACTAAGACACGAGCAGCCACTTTGATTTGTTTAGTAATTCCTGGGAAACTTGAAATCAGAGTAATATTTTAATTTTGATGTTGTCAATTGGAAATGTTTGCCTACCAGGTCATTCGACCTATTAACTGATTAACCGGAAGTAAAGTAGCAGGTCAATGGTCTTGTTTAAAGTAATCTGCAAGTTCATGTTATTAGAGTCTGATGATTTTCTCATCTAAATCTGAAACCTAGTTTATGCAAGTTCAGCCAATTTTATTTAGGAGTGTTTTGATCAAATTTGCATCTTCAAATTGTTTTACAGTGACCTACAACATATATGTTCCAGACCATGTTAGTATTTGGACCGTACGCGTACGGTCTGGAGCGAATGCGTACTTTTTCAAAATACGCATACGGTCGGACTGTACGCGTAAGGTCTGCCTAATTTTGTGTATTAGATACAAATGTACATTACAGATCAACATAACTGAAATCTTAAATTAATACAAAAAGTTCAATTGCAATTGAAATAAAAACTTAAAATTTTAATTACTCAAAAATGTCATGTTCAATTGATATGGTAATCGTCTGTATTTAGCATGTCTGTAATACACGAAATTGAATTATGCTCGCTGAAATTGAAGTTATTGGAAGTAAACATAATGTGGGAAGAAAAGTTTTTAGAATATTTAGGAACTTTACTAAAAAATGTAAATTGAAAGGAATATGCATGAACAAAACATGTAAATGTGAAAAATCTAATGTTCCTTGTGGGCGAGAGTGCCAAAAAAGAAAATAAATAATTTATTTCAATTGATTGAATGTTCGCTTATTCTCTTTATTCATGTAATTGTGACAATGTAAGTTGAAGATTTTAACAAATGCCTGTATTTAAGAATTGAATGCTTCTTTTTGTAAATTCATTGGGGTGTAAAAGCGTTGACCGAAGTACATTTTGTATGAAGCGCGGAAGCGCATCATTCTAAAAATGTGCGCAAATCTTTTATACTTGTACTCATCATGGGTAAGACATAATAAGGACCGCATCAGCGTATAATCTATTCAATTCATCTTCAATGCATTCTGAAACAAATACATTTTCCTTTTTGAAAACCAAACAAACATGCAAACTAATGAGTGATCGAAATCTGCTTAGCACCACAAAATGCATGTGAGGAATTCTTTTATTTATCATTATTTTGATTTGAAACAAGAACATTATGGTTTAAAGTCTATTTTTGGAATAAGGGACCGTTTTGGCTGCTGTGGAGCATAACCGAAACTGAATGGATTTCGTTCTTATGTTTTATAGATATTTGCAAAGATATTTGCAAACGAAATTTCAATGTCAAATATAGGCTCCAAGATATGTCAGTGTGTATAAATGGTTACCAAAGAAAATACAAAAAGAGAACCATAGCTAGATAACTTTTCAGAAATGTTGCCTGTTTGATTCATAGAAAATCGCAATACAAAGATCTTTTATGGGGATCAAAATCAGAATCTTTTCATTTATCAAAAATATAATTCAAGCGGATAAGAAATACTTTCCAAGAACAGCAAGTCCATGCTTTTTATTAGATCTATACCATCGGGATTAAAAAAAAAAAGCGAATTGATTTTTTAATAATAAAAAAAAAGGTTGTGTGGACTTTAACAGTGTTTTTTTGTGGACTTTAGCGGAAGTTGTTATTGTGGACTTTAACGGTGTTTTTTTGTGGACTTTAGGGGAGGTCATTTTATGGACTTTAGCGGAAAGTTTGTGGACTTAAACGGCGTTGTGGACTTTAGCGGAAATTTGTTGTGGACTTTAGCGGTGTTGTGGACTTTAGAGGAATTGTGGACTTTAACGGTGCCACACAGGTTATTGACGCATCCAATATTAATGTGATAACATGTAGCGTTATATGGTGAAATACCGATTGAAAGAAAATAAAATTCGGAAATAAGAACAAATGGTAGATTATTCTTTTTAAGTCATTTCTATTTCAGTTAACTAGTATTCCAAAAAAGTTATAAATTCTGAAGAAAAAGATCAAATAGAATTTATAACTATGTACTTTAAAAAAAAAATATGTAATAAGTTTAGCTTACATCCTCGACGATTCCAAGCTTTGAGTTTTTTTTAATGGAAAGATTAATTTCAAAGTTGGAATCCTGTACATAAAAAATTAATGCTTAAATGCTGTTAGACTTTGTATTAGGGAATATAAATAGTTAGAATGATGGATTGATATGCTGTAGTTTCAAGACCTGAGTATGATAAATATTGCCTTATCGATGTAATGTAACAGTCAAAAGACCTATTTTAAGGAAATTGATTGTCATTGTCTGGAGTTTATAATCCTACATTTTAGGAACCTCCGGTGACACCGGTAGTGCAGCAATAGAAGCCGTTAAAGGGTTCGAATACGTTGACATCATTGTACTTCTACCAAAAGGTCGATGTTCCAAAGTCCAGGAACAACAAATGATAACAGCTGTTGAGAAAAATGTACATGTATATAGAGGTAAATTAGAAAATTTCATAATTGCAGAAATTCCTACGATGACTTTTTAATTGTTGTGCATTAATTAGCTATATAGGTAAATACATGTAATAGTATTTTCTGCTTTTTTTCTGACAATTATATCTGACACTGTTTTATGCAAGTTGTACTTTCTTGTGTAATACAAAGTAAAATAACAAAAATACCGAACTCCAATGAAAATTCATAATGGAAAGTCCTTTATCAAATGGCAAAATCAAAAGCTCAAACTCATCAAACGAATGGAACACAACTTTCATATTCCTGATTTGGTGAATGGAAATGTATTTGGATTGGAAAAATATTGCTTACTCTGTGTAAGAAACTTAGATATCCTTATTGGTTATATCGTGTTGCTGATTCATTGACGTAAGTTCACGTAACCTTATATAAAAACAGGAGTTGTGGTATGATTGCCTACGAGACAACCACCAGCAGAGACCAAATGATGTAGATGTTAGCAACTGTACTATAAATGTCACTATAGGTTGCCTTCAACAATGAGCAAAACCCATTCCACATAGCAAGTTATAAAAGGCACCAACATGAGCAAATGAAAAACAACTGTTATTATTCATATCGCTCAGCTCTGAAATGAAATTCTACAAATTTGAAGGAATTAGCTGGTCAGAAGAACCAAAAAAAAAATGCAACAAACATTTAAAAAAAATAATTTTCAACTTAATTTTTCTGTTAATTCGATTTCTCATCTGCGTGCAACTTTATGCATGTACATTGACAAAATATATGACAAATATAATTATACTTTCTTTTTAAGTGGAAGGCACATCAGATGATCTTGATATTCCAATCAAAGAAGTTTTTAAAGACGTTACTTTTACTAAAAAGCACAACCTGTCGTCTATCAATTCAATAAATTGGTCTAGAATAATGGTGCAAATAGTTCATTATATTTATGCTTATTTACAGGTAAGTTAGTAGAAATAAGAGAATGTGGTATGAGTGTCAATGAGACAACTCTCAATCCAAGTCATAATGTGTAAAAAGTAAACAATTATAGGTCAAAGTACGGCCTTCAACACGGAGCCTTGGCTTACACTGAACATAGTATATGAATACGACATGTATACCTTTTGTCTCCGATCAATCACGGTAAAAAATCTACAAAAATATTCCACCGTTCCACCTTCAGCAAGTTCGACAGTAACCAACAAAAATACACATTTACAGATACCAATACAACATAACATCAAGTTGATCGCTATTGTGGTGACAGCAACTGAGGGTTCAAATTGGACCTAAAGTCGTTGTTGCTCACTTTTTACAACACAGAGTGATAAAAGAATGAAATTTAAAAAAAAAATTGAACATGCAATTTGACATTTCCTAATACATGAGACATTTTCGCCATCTCTGTATTACAAAATCTACGCATGTCTAAAGTAATTAATTTATTATTAGTTTCAGTATTTAAAAAATCAAATGACCGGAAAAGTTAGTATGCACTATTCCGTTTTTATTCAGAATTTTACAGGTACAGTCAAACTTAAAAGTTTTAAAAGAAATGACCAAACGAACATCAACGTCCAAAAAGGGAAAATTGACAATAGGGGACAAAAATCTTATCTTTTGTAGTAAATTCTTGAATATACTAGTAGTTTCCCGTGTGAAATTGAATTATCAAAATCTAGAAAGAGACACGTATTGCTGTCTGTTTTAAATTTATTTAAAGTAAGTTCCCTTTTAGTTAGTTTCCGCAACAGAATTAGAACATTCTTGATAATTTAAAGCAGAAATATCTTTGTTTATAAAATAAGAAGATTTGGTATTATGGCCAAATGAGAGAACTCTCCACCAGAGACCAAATGACATAGAAGTTGTTTAGACATCCGAAATTTTCTGACATCTATCTGATTGCAGTTTTAAGCCACCATTTGAAATTTATGATCAGCATTAAATGTCATAAACACGACACATTGTTGTAAAAATCTAAAAATACACGTTTTGAACCAGGGAAACTGTGTGAAGATTAGAGACCGTTTCGAATATGACCCGAGTGTGAAATAAACTCTTGGAAAATTTTCCTTTCTCTTAAAAAATGCCTTCCCAAAGCGCTTTCACAGAACGTAATATTGTAATGGCATACGTCACGTTTTATTGAGTAAAATGATATGGAACGTACCAGAAAGCAAAAAAAAAAAGAAAAAAAGAAGAAGAACGCCATTTCAGAATGCCTGTTTTAATTCTTTAGTAAGGACATCTTTTACATGCATAAACTCACGTTTAACCATAAACCCTCTTGTTGTAATTATATTTCAGATGTGTCCACGTTGTGACGGAGAGGTTGAAATAATAATTCCAACTGGAGCATGTGGAAATGTGACATGTAAGTTACTTTAGTATTGAATACTTATGAAATGTTGGATCCTAAATTCGTTTTTCGTTTATTTCAATAATTAACAATGCAAAAATTACCACAGAAAAAATAGTACATAATGTGAAGATTACTGACAAACCAGTGCCTTTATTGTCCTTAAAATATATGTTGTGTAAATATTTTTATGTCATAAAGTTTGGATGTCTACATGCTATCCACGAATAGTTAAAACAATTCTGATTCAGAAATGTTTTTTATCAATAAAACCAATAACGGTGTTATATGGAGAAGATATATACAATTTATATAGACTTAATTTATATGAAATTTTAAGTTCCAAGGCGGTTCAGGCTGCAAGATTTTATATAGCAAAACCAAAAGTAAATGCTTGCTAGTTGTTGATTCATATCACACAGCCAATTCTCATGATTTTTTAAACAAAGATGTGTTTCTGTTATAAACGTCTTCAGGGTACATTCAAATTAAAAATAAATAATTATGTATAGTTAGAAAAGATTAAACTAATTGAGAAATCAAAACTAATAACGGGAAAACCAATATCTCCGAGGCCAAGGACTCTTTCATTTACGTTAATTTGTGAATTCATTATTTACTAAATAAATGGGTTGTGGTTTTAGGCGATTGATTTTGAATCAATGTTTTCTGCATGTAGAGATATAATCGCAGAAATGTCGATTTTTCTACATAAAAGGCCTGTGATGAAAACGCTTCCTCAAGGAGTTCGATTGTATTTTTCCTTTGCAACAGAAAAAAATGTATTAATTAATTATTTCCAAAATATCAGGAACATTCATCTAACAACAAAGTGTCACTATCCTTGTTACAGCCGATCTAGCCAATGGGTTAAATTAAGAATATTGTAGAATTGGTTATATAATTGTAGCAGGAAAAAATGTCATAGTGACTCTCTCTTTTATATCTTATTTACAAACAAAGCTTTGACATTTCGACTTTTAAAATTTTCATCTTCAGTCTTCCGGAATAATGATATAAACGTATGCTGCATATGATAAAAAAAAATCTGTACTTGTTTAATAACTACAACTTGCGAATTTCTGGAATAAGTCCCTTTGAATATATTCGACAAATACTCATTGCCAGGGAATTTACATGGTTTTAAATAGATACATAATTTTCGTTTCAGTGTTTTCTCTTAATTAATGCGAATTAAAACTTTTGTTTGCAGCTGGGTTTATAGCTAAACTAATGGGTGTTCCAATCAAATTTGTCTGTGCTGTTACACAGAATGACATTGTTGCCCGGGCGATAACTATAGGTGATTATTCAATGTCAGATAGTGTTATTCCTACACTAGCTCCAGCTATGGATATACAGGTAATTTGTAAAGATCTGACACATATAAGAAAAGTATCTTTTTAAGTAATAAAATTTGTCATTCATCTTTGTCATTAAGCAGTCTCACAGTAATCAGTTGTACAATTAATTCAGGATCCCAAAAAAATATTGTATTTTGTTATTCCTTCCAATTGTCCATAGGATTTACACTATATGCTGTATGTATAAATAAGGAGTATGATTACCTAAGGTTTATCTTAACTTAAATGTTCTCTCTTTGTTTCGTTATTTCTTATTTATCCGCAAACCTGTCTTATTGCTTTTAGTTGGTGTCGACATTATACTGTTTTTGAATTACTCTTTTGATTTCTTTCTTCTATCCATGAATTATCCTGTAGACTTTCGATTTTCAATTCCCTTAATCACAAATTAACATAACTTTTAAGCTTCTTTACATAAACCGTGAAGTAATAACTTGTGATAAGTTCCTTAAAATCAAAGATTTCAAGAAAAAAAAATAAAAAAATAAAGGATAAAAACCAACATATAAGAACTACAGAAATCACAATGCTACAAAAAGATAAAACACTGTACATACTGTACGTGACTAGTAAAGGAAGAAAAAAAGGCACTCTATAACCATCAGCACTAAAGATTCAGCCACATAAACCTCACTTAAACTGGGAGTAAACTCAGAACACCGATACTGGCGCATGTTGTGCGCGCTTCTCATTATATGTAAACTGAATTCTATGATAAGTAGTATTCGTTTGTAGATAGTTTAAGAAAGTATGCCAATGTTCAGTTTAGATCTTGTGAAGTGCAAATGTCTCAGTCGGTCTTTCTCAACTTTGTTGCATTGGTTTTTTTCCTATTTTAGACAAAGAAATAACGGGCGTCCGTCTGGTCTTGTAAGTGCTCTCACGTGAACAGCTCCTGCCATATTTTTATTTAAATTTTTATCGAAGGTTTATATCTGCAATGTCTCAGACAAGTTCGAATTCAGTGCCTAACAACTATTTTTAAATGACTTGTGTCCCTTCGAAATGTAAACTCTATATAAAACTTTATTGTTAGAGCTCTCCAGTGAACAATTTTCCAGATATTAATGAATTTATGTCAAAGGTTTATGTCAGCAAATTCTCGGAGGAGTTCGAAAATCAGTACCGATCAACTATTTTCAAAAAGTTATGCCCTTCTAAATATTAATTATATATAGATATTGAACTGTAAGCACTCTTACATCTACATTTCTTGAAAGATTGTTATGAAAATTATATCAAAGGTTTATATAAACTATGTCTTTGATGAGTTCGAAAATAAGCCATGATCAATATTCTTTTCCGGATTTATGTTTCTTTGAAATATAATGCATATTGAACATCTAAATGTAAGCACTCTCACCTACATTTGTTGTCGAATTTTTATGATATTTATAGCAAAGGCTTATATCAACAATATATCGGAAGAGTGCCGACCAATTTTTCAGGAGTATTGCTACTTGGAAATCGAAATTATATGAAAATAACCTTATTAGCGATATCATGCATACATTTCTTGTGAAATACAGTTTATGAAAAAGTTAAAAGAACCATAACAATTGTTTTGGAGTCAATTACTTTGGAGATATGAAATACGTGCAACGCTGGTGACATTGGAACGCTGTAATTTTATGATCCTGCAATCGACCGTTCTACTATACAAAAACAGTTGTACATATAATATGAAACTATATATACGTAATGTAAGTACATACGAAATAAGAGGAAAGATCGACTAGCCTCCCGTTTCTCTCTATCTCTCAAGCTCTTACAAATAAATTTGATATTTAACTACAATTTACGAATATTGTATATAAAGCTTAAACTGATTACTATGAAAAGAATTAAACGCCGCTCATAGCAGATTTTTTACATAAACGTGTAGTTGGGTTTAAGGTAGTTGAAAAAGATGTAAGTAACTTTTTATCACAGGAAATCAGATTATTTGTACTTCAGAGGGTTGTGAGTAAATATGAAAAGAATTACTAGTAATAATTAATTTTATATACGTTAAACCAACAGACCAAAGATAGGGGCTGAATATAATCTAAAAAAAAAAAAAATGTGTAAGCCTAGCTCAGCTCAGAACTAAACTAAACTAGCATCTTTTTATTCCATTAAATATATATTAGGCTAAGGTAGTTCAGATCTTTGTTCCTTTTATGTCAAAATTCTTGCAAAAAAAAGTTAGTCAAAACGTTTGCAGAAGTTTAATATACTTTACGTATTATTTCCTTTAAAAAGAAATGTATATCACAAACTCATCAAAGATACTAGGCTAATAGTTTTGTACACCAGACGCGCTTTTCGTCTACAAAAGACTCATCGGAGACGCTCGTATAAAAAAGTCAAAAGGCCAAATACAGTACGCAGTCAAAAACCACTGATACAACGTCCTTTGATCACTTCGACATGACTAAGGTCAAATCTTTTGGGTCCAGTTAATGTAATGAAAATAGCAAATTTGTAATTAAAACTTTAATAACAGTTCTAAACATGAGAATGATAGAAAATTGGAAAATTTAGTTTAGATATTATGGTATAACATAAAAATGGAAGCTTAATTATATATAACTTCTCAAAAATGTATTTTGAATTCGAGATTACGAATTTGTGAATACGATATAGATATCTTTTCTAAGGAAAGTTAGGTTATAGCATTGATAAGGTGTAAGAAAAGAAAAATAAAGGAAATACCCATGCAAACAATGAAATATTAATTTTTATTGTTACGTATTTTATTGTATTTTTATTTATTAAGGTTGATGTTATATATGAATAAAAATTGATTCGTTAATAATGTAGATTTATTTCAGGCTAATGATTAATAAAACGAAATCTTATAAAAGAGACAATGAAGGCTAACGATAGTTGCACAAAGAAACCTTAATATTATGGTAAAAAGTCTCCGAGCAATTTATCATGATTTGCATATATTTGTATTAAAAAAAAGTGCAACGGAAGTACAAAACAAATCCGCAGAAAAAATGGAAGTTTGGATTCCAGTACAAAGAAGAAAATAATAAATAATGATGCCTTATGAGCAATTCTTTAGAACAATATGTATTTTTTGTTTAGTAAAATGACATTTTTATTCATAAATACATCTTTTCTAATTTCTCACGTGTTAAAAATTATTAGAATTTCATCTCTTAAGAAAATATGCTTTGAATTTGTTTTTATAAAAAATATAATGAGATTGTAAATATGCCGGCGGATTCGTGCTTTTAGAATTTAATTCAGAAACAGCAAGTGGGAAGAAACACTTTTATCGAAGAAATTCTTTTGTTGATGATACTTCTAAAAATAAATGTCTTTTAGTTTGCGGTATGTAAAATATATTTGAAGGAAAGATCATATATTTTTAGCCACAAGTAACGATATAATTCAGATGACTGTCTCTTTAAGAGTAGCTTGAAAATACGTGACGTTTTTTTCGGCAACTATTTTTATGCCCCACCTAGGGGCATTATGTTTTTCGGTCTGTGCGTCCGTTCGTTCGTCCGTCCGTCCGTCCGTTCTTCCGTCTGTTCTCACTCTCTTTTTTATGGGATCAAGACGCTAATTTTTAATTCGGTGTCTACGAACTAATTGTAATCGACTATAAATCAACAACGGTTAGGTAATTTTCTTAATTAGTCCTTGTTTAAGAGTTAAGGTGCTCATTATATGGTTTTCTGATTGATAGTGCGTTTGATTTTTTCTCCATATGACAACTCGTGTTTCTTGAACAACCTTTATCAGGTTCGGTCTAGACAAAAAGTATGGAAAGCTAAACACATGAATATAAAACTAGAGACTCTAAAGAGTATCTTCAACAATGGCTACTTTTTAGTAAAAATCATCATTAAAGGGGAATTACTCTATTAAGAGTTAACTGACAATTTCAGTCGTGTTGAAGTACTGGTAGATCTAATCCTGCTGTTCGTTTTTCTTTTAGAAGTTTCTATCTATCTATTTATAGCGTTCAAGATAATAGGCAAAAAAATTCAAACAATGGTAAAATTTATCAAACTCGACTGAAGATTTCGGCCAAAACGACTAATTTGTAGATCTTGTCTTGCTGATTAAAGTTTCTAATTAAACTTTTTATCTACCTAATATACTTTTCAAGATATTGGGCCAAAATGGAAAAAAAATATCGTCATTAAAGAGTATACACTTCAATGTTTCGACTAACAATTTCAACCATTTTGGCTTATTTGTAACTCTGGTCTTGCTGATTATTTTTTGCCATTTAAATTTTCTAACTATTTATTATAGTTTTCAAGATAATAGGCAAAAAATGTCAAAGATTGGGGGAAATCGTCATTAAAGGGCAATAACTTCAATAAGGTGTCGATTTGGATTATTTGACTTATTTGTAGATCTTGTCTTGCTGATCATTTTTGCTATTCAAAGTTTCTGTCTATCTATTATAATAACATTGACGGTACCAATTTAAGATGATAGGCAAAAATTTAAAAAAAAAAATGGTAAACTTCGTCGTTTAAGGACAATAATAAGTAGTCTGACAGTTTTGATGTCCCCGTCTCCAGGGCGTGGACACAGAACAGGCGGTGTTGCCACGATGTCACAGAAGCAGGGTTCCGAATCCCGCTAAGGGAAAAACCAAAATTTGTTGTTGCAAATTTGCAGATCTTACATTGTTGGGTTAAATTTGAGACGAATTATATTTACTAGTACATGTGATATGTGCTAGGATAGATCGATTGATTTTTTGTATTTAACGCCATTTGCAGCACTATTGTCTGTATCGGAGAAAACTACCGACCTTCGGCTTCAAAAATTTAGGCTAGAAATATAAATAGTAAAGCCCTTGAGGTCCCATAAGGTATATATAGATAAATGTGAATAAGCTTCTGTATAGAAAAACATGTTCACCAATAAAACCTCCAACATGACCAGATTAATGATTCAATAATTCCCTAATACTTTTTATTTTAACAATCCAAAGGTGAATAGCTTCGATATATAGGTGGAGTTATATAACCTGGGAGTATGTTATAAATGCAGATAACTTTCATGCGTCACGTTTTAGAAATAGTGTAACATATATATAGCTAAGGTTAAAACTATGCAATCAATTATTTTGTTTTATATACCTCTTTTAAAATATCACAATCCATAATCTGCATCTTATTTACAAAGGGGAAACTATTTTAAAATGTCCATAAATGTTTGCTAAGTAGGATTTTCTTGTATTGCTGCCGTCGTAAATACGGTGTTCATATCATCTTGAATGCCCAAGGACAGTTTGCCGGTCTTCGAGGTTCTTCAGTAGGTGGTTAAAACGAATTGAAAATCAAAGAATATGTAAACTCATTGTGGTAAATATGCGCAATGTCACTTGTATTTAATCATGTACAAAGGTAAGCATAGTATAACATTTCTATATAACATAATGGAAATCCGCTTATTTTCGATGACAATTCGTGATATACTTACGTTATCTTACAGATTCCATATAATATGGAAAGGTTGTGGTACCTGATAACACAAGACAGTGAACTGATTTGTAAATTAATGACCGAGTTTGAATCCAATGGCAAAGTCAATATCCCGACTTTCTTGAAAAATCAGGTAAAATCCTTTATACTTAAAGTAATGAGATTAAAGTGTTTGGAATTAAGTCACGAACATCTAATAAGACTTGGTTTTTGTGTTGATATTTGCAATTGTTTAAAGAGAAGATGCGTGAAGGGTTTTACTTTGCATCAGAAGTAGAGTATTATTAAATCATTCGAATTGTTTTTAGAAGTTAGGATTACTTTGTGCAATTTATCAAATGTGGTTTTCAAATTAATTAATATTAACATGGATTTTTAATGTATCAAGATGGCATTATTTTTATTTTTCCTTGAAAGAATGACCAAAAACATGAATAATTTTAATACACATTTGCGTTTAGGAAATATCAAGAGTACGAAAAAGCCAAATAAATATCTATAGGAGAGGTGTTGTTCGTTACTGTGGTAATTACTAAGTTTGTTCTTAAATTGGTTATATTTTTCCTGTTCCAAAAATCTTTTGGAGATCGACTAAAACATTTATATTTCACGAAAAAGCTTGAATTTGGATTTTTATTTTGTCTTAAGTTAATAAAAAAAATTTGGAGTAAAGCTTGAGAAGATAGTTCCTTTTAAAGACTTTAATTAATTTAAAGAAAAACATGGGTTACGTACTGTTTTCTTGCTATAATTTAAATAGAAAGAAAAACTACTGTTCATTTATTTATAAAATTAAATTATTTGAGTTATCTCCCCTTTTCTGATTAAGTTTTAAACATTTTGAAAAAAGATATACTGTACTACAGCCTAAATAATATGCTTGATTGATTTATTGTTCAGCATTATTGGCTATAATCTGGTGCAAAAAGATGAGGTATTGGACTTTTTTCTCAGTTTTTCCTTCAATGCAAGAAAATTAAATTAGCGCTTTATAAATTTCGTAATTCCGAAGCGCTAATCAGGATTTACCATCATCAGGAATATTCAAACCCAAAAATTTAAAAACAATGGTGAATAATATACCCGATAACATAAGGTGCTACATGACCAAAAAGAGACACAAAAAGAATAGCCATATTCTTAAAAAAAAAGCCTCATGCAAATCCAGAAATATGAAATACTTAATATTGACAGACTAAATGTCTTGTGAACATCTGAAAATTGTTATTGAATTAATAGCTCTATAATTAGTCCCCTACCGACGAAGTCGAAGGGGACTTTAGGTTTGCACTCCGTCCGTCCGTCTGTCTGTCTGTCTGTCTGTCTGTCTGTCTGTCCGTCTGTCTGTCTGTCCATCTGTCCATCTGTCAGTCCGGCAAATCAGTTTTCCAGACTTTTTTTCTTCGTGCTTGAAGATATTTATTTGATATTTGGTTTATTGATTTATCATGACAAGTCACAGGTCAAGTTCAATTTTCACGATTTTAGCTTTTCTCTTTGTTCAGTTAAAGCCCTTTCCCTAGAATTAAATTTTTGATGAAATACTTATTAATTAGTAGATTTCTGTTCAAAGGGAAATAACTCATTTTTTAAAAGATTTTTAAAAGACAAAATGACATTTTGGATTTTTTTCCTTTTCTTTGGTAAATTGTTTGAAGAATTTAGTGGTAGGTTTGTTTGTCATTCTTGAAGTTTATTGATTTGATAATTAGTATATAGTTTTTATCATGACAAGTTGGAAATTTGTTCCAGTCTGATAATTTTGTGCAGAATTATGGTCTTTGGACATAGAAAATTCACTTAAATAATCAGTTTTCATCAGTTTTTTTACGTCATGCTTGAAGATTTTGACTTGATATTTTTATGTAGTTTACACCATGACACGTTATAAATCAAGTTAGAATTTCGTTCCATTACAATGAATTTGTAACCGGTAGGGGACTATGTATTGCCATGCAATACTCACAAAATGCTTGTTCATTTAGATTTTTAAGTACAATGTGTCAGGAAGTGACCTTAGCATATCTTCTCTTTTCGCTTACAAGGTATAGACCAAATAAGGCCATTACCGAACACATATTGTTTTAGCATATTTATTATAGATAGCTGCATAGTAATATGAGAAACATTTTGAAATGCAACAAATCAAGTCAAACTATCGTTTGTATTTGGAAACGTTTGTAAAACACTAGAATCAAAATCTTGAATTATACGTGCTTCTGTGAAAAAGAGAATAAAAGTATTAAGACACGCTCTTGTACAGTTGAAACAATGCGAACAGGGCAACCAAAAGGGTCTATAAGAAAACAGCACATACAGGCCATAGAATAGAATGTTACATACAAACAAAGATAATTAATGTTAAATCTCTTTAAGATTGAAGAAATAATCGTAGCCACATATGTAGCTGACAATGAAGACATTAAGACAACAATGAGAAGGACATGGGAAGAGAATCATTACCAAATATGTCCACATACAGCCATCGGTGTGGCTTATTATTATAGCACGTAAGTTTATTATGGAACGCCTCAGCTGTCTTATGTTGAACTCTGATATTACTTTATGTTGTTTTATTATTACTTGATGATATTTTGTCTTTACTTAATATGGTTTTGACATTACGTAATGATGTTTTGATATAACTCAATATGGAATAGTCATTACTTAATGATATTTCGATATTACACGATATGGTTTCGTATTGACTTGATATAGTTTTGTCATTACTCAATATGGTTTTGTCATTACTCGATGTGGTTTCACCATTATTTAATGTGGTTGTGTCATTAGTCAATGTGGTTTTAACATTACTTGATGTGAATATGACTTAACGTTATGTAGTTGTTTCATTACATGATGTGGTTTTGTTATTTCGTTTCGTAATGATGATTTGCCTATTCTTTATATGGTTTTAACATTACGTAATGATATTTCAAAATTGGACGATTTTACACTACATGATGTGTTTGTTTCATTATTTGATGTGGTCCTGTCATTCTTTGATGTGGTTATCCCATTATTTGATGAGGTAAAACCACGTGACCAATTCGGAAAAAAATATGTTCTATTTTTAAACAGATTTCTACGAAAGCCTATTAGGGTCACAAAAAAATTTTTTTTATCTCGTAATTACGAGAAAACTATCGCGTAATTACGCAATAATTATCTCGTAATTACGCGATAATTATCGCGTAATTACGAGATAATCATTGTTTTATCTCGTAATTACGAGATAATTATCGCGTAATTACGAGATAAGATTTTTATCTCATAATTACGAGATAATCATAGTTTTATCTCGTAATTACGAGATAATCATAGTATTATCTCGTAATTACGAGAAAACTATCGCGTAATTACGAGATAAGAAGTTTTTTTTATCTCGTAATTACGAGATAAGAAGTTTTTTATCTCGTAATTACGAGATAAGAAGTTTTTTATCTCGTAATTACGAGATAACTGTTGCGTAATTACGAGATAACTATCGCGTAATTACGAGATAAATATTGCGTAATTACGAGAAAACTATCTCGTAATTACGAGATAAAAATTCATTTGGCCAAGAAGATTAAGAGGAGAAAGATTTTTGTAAAAGATTAAAAAAAATTACTTAATTGCAGAAATGACTTTAAAGGGCAATAACTTCCTAAGGGGTCAATTGACAATTTGGTCATTTGACTTATTTGTAGATCTTACTTGGCTAAACATTTTTGCTCCTTCAGTTTATATCTTTCTATTATAATATTCAAGATAATAACCAAAAACTGAACAATAATCATTAAAACTACCAATTAAGGGGCAGCATCCCAACAACGGGAAGTCTGATTCGTCTGAAAATTTTTACCCTGTCATATTTGCTCTAAATGCTTTAGTTTCAGAGATATAAACCATAAACTACATTTTACCCCCCCCCCCCCCCCCCCCCATTATCTCGGTTGGTGGGCGGGGTCTTTGGATACATTTTTTTAAACTAGAAACCCTAAGGTTGATTAAGGCTAAGTTTGGTTCAATTTGGCCAAGTGGTTTCAGAGGAGAAGATTTTTGTAAAAATTAACGGACGACGACGGACGACGGGCGCCATGTGATGGGAAAAGATCACTTGACCCTTTGGGTCAGTTGAGCTTATAAAAACGGGCGTTTTATCAGGTGCCCCGGAAGGGTAATCATGATCTGTATATCTATATATATATGTAATTTTATCTCGTAATTACGAGATAGTTTTCTCGTAATTACGAGATAGTTTTCTCGTAATTATGAGATAATTTTCTCGTAATTACGCGATAGTTATCTCGTAATTACGGGATACTTATCTCGTAATTACGAGATAAAAAATAATTATCTCGTAATTACGAGATAAAAAATAATTATCTCGTAATTACGAGATAAAAAATGATTATCTCGTAATTACGCGATAATGATCTCGTAATTACGCGATCGTCTTCTCGTAATTACGAGATAAATATTATTTTTTTTTGTGACCCTAATAGGCTTTCGTACATTTCAATATATCATTTGTTTAATGTGCTTTGGATGCCATGGGTATCGCTATCCATTGAGTTAAAGTTCAAATTAAAGTTCGAGTGGTTGTTCAGAGTTATTTAGTATGAAAAAGGTAACCGGCAGACAATAATAAGAAAAAAAGTATTAAAAAGTTTACAGTATTTCTTACATAATTGGGATATCCCCAAACCACTTTGTCTTGTTGTTTTTACCCTAAGTTCTCAAACGGAAGCAGTATTTTTGTAATAAATTTGTAAAATATTCCACGGAACTCTATGTCTCGCCTGATATTGCTACTGTAAGTGTAAAAGCGTCATGTTGATCGGCTGTACATTTATCTATAGATTTATCGGTAAAAACAAAATTAAAAAAAAATGTTTTTCTGTAGATGCTTTTTCTTGAAATTGAGGAATAACTCCTATACTCCTATACAAGTTTTAAAACACTTCATGGAGGTTTACAAATTTATCATGTCAAAACAGTTTAATTCGATTTTATTTAACTAAAACAAAACTGTATGGTTTTCAACAATAAGCAAAACCCATACCCTATAGAAAGCTATAAAAGGTCCCGAAATGAAAAATGTAAAAAACTAGAAACCTAACGATCTATAGATGGATGGATGGATGGATGGATGGGGATGGATGGATGGATGGATGGATGGATGGATGGATGGATGGATGGAAACATACAATATAAATACAGATACAATAGTTGAGGTAAACAAATACAGTATTATATTCTAAAAGTACAAAATTATAATGGCATACGTGTTTAGTAACATGTATAATGAAAGGTTAAACTCAATAGAAATAAAAAAAGAATGGAGATGGAGACGCCGACGCCACTATCGACGACGAAATATAGGTTTGTTGGGTCTCACTGCCGCTACATTGATGTCGCAGGCTCGACACAAATCAAACGACTTGAACTTTAATGTTAACAAATGAAGCACTTCAAATCAACTCACACTAAAGTTACAGGGAAACGGTGGGAGGGGGCTCGGACTTAGCGGCAAAGCATCAATACTATAAAATAAGAATTCTCCGAATTTTTTTTATCGTAAATGATCATTTGAACTTACAAATATCAATCTTTTATTTGTAATCAATTGAATTCCCTGATCTACCTCGCACTTATTGAAAAATAAACTTTTTGGAATATCTGTATCACATGTAACGACGGACATGTTCCAGTGGTCGTAACCATAATACCGTCATCTTTTTCTTGAATGTGAACTACCAAATAAAACCAAATCACTGGGTTTGTACTTTCTCGAATAACACGACGGGTGCCTTTCTGGAGCATCCGAGATCACCCCGATGGATTTATATTACCCAGTCATACCGATCTTTTTTGTATGCCACCGCAACTGAAAGTGGGGGGGGCATATTGTTTTACCCCTGTCCGTCCGTCTGTCCGTCCCATTATGGGTATATAGTTATTCCGCATAACTCCTCCTACAGTTTGAATCCTAGGAAGTTTTCTCTTTACTGTTAGTTTGTACATATAATGAAGGTGTCCATGTGGTCAGGGTTTAATGTTTATTAATATTTGCTCTTTTGGGAGATAGTTGAACTTTGTAATTTTTTGCGAAATTTACTTGCATAAGAAGAGCGTTTCCAGATAACTCCTCCTACAGTTTGAATGCTAGGAAGTTTTCGCTCTGCTGGCTGTTTGTACATATATTGAAGGTGTGCATGTGGTCAGGGTTGTTATTTTTATTATCTTTTGCTCTTTTGGGAGATAATTAAACTTTTTTTTGGTCATTTTTGGGGTATAAGCGGTTAAATGAGTTGAGTGCGGGGCATCACTTTGTCTAGTTTACATTTTTTTCTCGTGTTGTGCTGTTACACAAGTGTAACAGTCCAATGTAAGGTTAGGATTTAGCGCTCACATACATGTTAAACTCCGCCACGTGCACTTTCTTTATGTACCTGCCCAAGTCAGGAGCACGAAGTTCAATTGTTGTCGTTGTATAAATGTGTATCATTTTTTTTTGTAGATTGTTTAAATATAAATAAGACCGTTTTTTTTCGTTTGAATTTATTCACATGGTGCATGGTGGCCTTTTATAGCTGACTATATGGTGTGTTGAAGGCTGTACGGTTGCCTATATATGATTTCTTACATCCACTGCATTTAAACTCTGGTGGATAGTTGTCTCATTGTCAATCACACCACATCTAACTTTATTTCAACTTCTATGTTGCGTTTTGTATACTGTAACATTGTTTATCTTTTGTACGCATACCCCGGAGCCCTCTTTTCGGAATCCCGAGCAAAAGTCCTTGTTCCGCGATAGAAAATTTAATTACAAACTCATATAAGATAGCACGAATTTCAACTCAAAAACTTAATTAATCTAAATGAGACTTAAATTCGAATCTTACTCAAACTCAAAAAGTGACTCAAATTTAATGGTGTAACTAGAACTCTACCTTTAAATGTGACTCAAACTTGAAGTCCAACTCGAAACTCAATGCTAACTAAAACTTTAATTCTAATAATGACTTGAATTCGGAATCGGAGACTAACTCAAAGATCTACTCAAACAGTAACCCTAACTTTAATTTGAACTCTAATTCGATGGATGGCCACACTCATCCAAGGTACATACAACATTGAAATATATCTAAAAATAGAACAGGTTTTTTCCGAATTGGTCACGTGATTTTACCTCATCAAATAATGGGATAACCACATCAAAGAATGACAGGACCACATCAAATAATGAAACAAACACATCATGTAGTGTAAAATCGTCAAATTTTGAAACATCATTACGTAATGTTAAAACCATATAAAGAATAGGCAAATCATTATTACAAAATAACAAAACCACATCATGTAATGAAACAACTACATAACGTTAAGTCATATTCACATCAAGTAATGTTAAAACCACATTGACTAATGACACAACCACATTAAATAATGGTGAAACCACATCGAGTAATGACAAAACCATATTGAGTAATGACAAAACTATATCAAGTCAATACGA